GGTACCTCAAAAAAGGTTAAGAAGCACTGATCTAAAAGCTCCTAACCCCGGATTTACACTACATGTGACTCCGCTGCCCTGCGGTACGCAGTTTGCAGCTGTTCGTTTGCACCCAAATTTATACAGCCTCCGCTCCGGTCCGACACACAGAGGAGGGAGTGTGTGCAGGAAGGAGATCAGGCAATAAATCCAGTGATAAATGTGGAAGTCAGAGCAAAAAATAATTAATTCTGTGAAAGATGAACTCCAAACACAGCTGAAAACATTGATATAAAAGCTTTTGATATTTATGTTGAAACTAGGGCTGGGCGGTATGACCTCAAATTCATATCACGGTATAAATTAAATCCCTTCACAGTAACAGTATATATTGCGGTACAAAATTATCATAAGTTAAGATAATGTAATTTTTAGAGCATTTTTTTTGCAGAAAACGGTTATCTTAATTAAACCCAACATTTTTACTTTAATATCTGCCTGCCAAACAATGAGCTTCTGCCTGCTGAACTTATCAGCTGCTGCTCGCTTATCATCATCAGAGCAGAAGCCGACTTTACATTAGCAACATGGATTTACGACTGAATTAACGTTCACGTCTTTTTTTTTTTTAATAATCTCTGTGGGTAACAATACATAAAAAACAAATTTTTTCTCCGACAACTGGTGTGAAAAACTACAGTTGTTAAAGCTTCGCTCTGCAGGACGTACAGCGAGACGAGAGGAGAGGAGAGGGAGGGAGGGAGGGAGGAAATGATCCCGTGACACGACGTAACTTTTCTACAGCAGTAGGAGGAAATTTTGAGGATTTATCCTCTCTATACGTGTTTTAAAACGCTAGAATTTTTTCATTATATTTCAAACTCCTGCTCAGTTGTCTCTGCACTCACAGCACTGTTGACACAGGTGCGATGACGTAACGACGATAGGATGGTAGAGGGTAAATTTCTACCGTAGCCCAACTTCATATCGGTTCTACAGTCTATATACCGAGCATATACCAAGCAGCCCTAGTTGAAACTGTATKGCTGTTGTCTTTTTGAAACTTCTGATTTCTAAATAAAATCCACGTATATTGTGTGTGTACACACATGCTTCATGCTCAGGGTTGCACATAAAATTTTTGGTCTGGTTCTCAGGGGAGAACCTAGGGTTGTTGCTTGGTGTTCATATTTTCCTTAACTCATTTAACACATTTATCTAGAGGGGTGTCAGGACATTTATTATCGCCCTGTTCCATTTTATGACGCCTTCTATCAGCTGGCAATGTCTCAGGACATCATGCCAAATCAGAGTTTTTATTTTTATTTTTTACTCTGCATACATTTTGTAAACTACCCAAGTGGCAAATGGGCTGACTCATGGGCATWTGTCATCTCAAACTGAACATTTCGTGTTTAAATATCTGTTAGATTACACATGACCCTGAGATGTACAACTCCTGTTGTTTGGCCTTCTAGATCTTTGGCCTTGTTTAAACCAGTTTTCCACACTCTCCAGACCAAGCAGCAAATATCTGTGTTTTGCACAGAACAAATGTTTTATTTGTTAAGACTGATTTCTTTTTTAAAATACAATTTTATTCAAAAAGATTACATTTAATGGTTTCAGCTCATATAATCATTTAAAATAATTTATTCTTCATATTTTATCATTTATTGAATTACATTTATCCCAGAGCAACTGCGTCACAGTATGATTCTAAATGTAAACATGTTTAGCACATCAAGAATCTTGTTGTTTTCATAAAATTGTGAAGAATGAAATTTGTGGATCTTCCTGATAAATTAAAATAACATTTAAAACTCATAGAGAACATGGCAAGTTTTTATTTTTATTTTTTTGGATGGGGGGTGACGTTAAATAGAAACTTATCTTTGCTTTGATATGGAGCAAATAAATGTTCTTCTGTTAGAGGTAATATGGTTTAGAAGAACTCAAACAGTGAATCTCACAGAAAGACTCACAGCCTGCGCGCGCTGAGGCACGTTCCCGTCTCAGGAGGAGAYTTTAGTCACTGACGCAAAGTTGAACAGATCTGTTCTATAACGACGCTCTGAACATATATTTAATACAAAGTTAGGTTTTAAAGACCAAAGTCTCTGGTAGTTCAGGAGCAAAGTGCAGGAGGAGATGTCAGGACTGAATCGCTTCAGCCGCTGCTTCCACTGTCTGCTGAAAACAGCTCTGACTGAAAGTCCCGCCCTGCTCTGCTCTGATTGGATAAAACAGCTCTGGAGTTCGTCTGATTCATTGAAAGCATTGTCTGTTTAATCCTTTTACATCAGGGTCCCGCTGCCCTCCTCTGGCAGAATGACGATCCAGTCACACCAGTGAGGCCGGATTTTTATGTTTTGTTTGTTTTTAAGACATCAGGTAACATTTGCGACCCTGCTAGCTGTTGTTTTCACAATCTCAGGWACAATCTTAGGTACGCAATGGAGCTTTATGACATTCCATCTGGTGAGCTTTTTCTTTTTTGATCGTGCATGCGCACCTGCGCACCACTTATGTACAACTCTGTTCATGCTCCATGTTGCCATCTGCTTCCAATTAAAACCATACATTCTGACAGCATTTGTGTAGAAATATATCCATATATTGATTAAAATAGCTGCAATTTCGGCAAAATTATGTTATATTATTATCTTATTCTGAAAATATGGATGTTGTGCTGATTCCTCTTCCTGATGGTGTGATGTAATCTTTAAAAWTTGACTCCGGTGTCCTGCAGAAATAGGACTGAATCTAATTTTGCCAGATCGCCGTCTGCTCACCGCCACCGTGCGGAGCCAGTGTAAATACTCTCATTGATTATAATGGGTGCGTATTTGCTGCAGAGGTCGGACTGGAGCAGAGCCGGACCGCATGTAGTGTAAATTAGGGGTAATAGACAGTGGACTGTATTCCATATAAATTGTTTTTTTAAGAGGTTCAAGCAAAAATTAATCTGAGATTCTTTGTTCTCGCAACAGATTTTCACGTATAATGTGAAATTGATGGAAATGTACTGGTTTGTAGAATACTGTTTGCATGAAATACTCTGAAATTTTGGATATTATAGTTGATWTAGGATGGCAGTAATCAGTCAAACTACCAGGTAGCTTGTCAGACCTGTCAGGAAACAACTCTTATTTCTCCAGATTTTCAGAAGGCAGTCTCTGAAGCACTAAGTAGGAGTTTCTTGTTTTGAGGGAGGAGTTTGTCCAAGACAACGGCCAGGCTGGACCTATATTTTTTAAATATAAATATTAATTTTAGTCATAAGTTGAGACAGAAAGGTGCTAGATGCATGAAATTTAAACCCTGTACATGTGGAGGGCTTYATCAAAACAGCCCTAACCAGCCTGTAAAAGGTGGCTATATGACTTAAGTCATAACTTGAGACAGGAAGGTGCTTGCCACTCAAAATTTAAAATTAATAGTGTTTGTGTTCACAATCATTTTTATTTGAGTTATTGTTCTGTTTTAAACTGTACAGTGTGAATAAATCATATTTACATGTCCACAAGACAAGTCAATCCGACATATCACGATTTGTCCAAGCTCCACCCACACCTATATCTATTCAAACGCCACCAACCACGGTTAGGAAAACTTTGCCCACACAACAAGAAACTCCCTCTATGTACTGCAGAGACTCCTACTCACAAACGTTTGGTTTGGCTAGCTACAACAGGTAAAATATTAATTCTTAGAATAGAATAGAATAGAATAGAATAGAATAGAATAGAATAGAATAGAATAGAATAGAATAGAATAGAAATAG